GTGTGTGTGTGTGTGTGTGTGTGTGTGTGTGTGTGTGTGTGTGTGTGCGCGTGCGTGAGCCGAGTGTCACCGGGGCTTTTTATAGCGCTGTATTCTGAGTCAGACCCTCGGAGGCCTGCGTTTGGCTGCTGTACGGCGCTTGCATAAATAAACCTGTTTATCGCCACACACTGATGTCTTCTGCCTTTGTCTCTCTCCGAGCTAGTATCACTCTCTTTGTTGAGACGGTATTTATGGCAGTGATTTTTTATTATTTTTTTTCCCCGGCCCTGTCACTCAAGTGCAACAAGAGCCGTGAAAAGGATATGCAGCTGTGTGATTTGAGAACAAGTGGGTTAGAGGCTATGCAGCCGGAGTGAAGAAGGCACAGAAGGTTGTGTTTTTGTGACTGTGGCAGGATTTTCTTTTGCTGTGTGGGTTGAGCAGAGGGACAGAAGACCATGTACTAAAGATAGTGTGGGAGGTTTGTCTGCATCACTTGCCCTACGCGTCTCTCTCTGGATCTCTGGTATCTCTGTCTCGCTCTCTCAGCCTCTTATTATTCTGTACATAATCTTCCAGCATCACTGGTGACGGGGAAGTAGACTGTGGCCACATCCTCACTAACGCACATAAAGTTGAAAATGCATGTTTTGATTCTTCTTTTTGACCCTCCTTTTGAAAATATTCTTCGGAGTGCATCATTTTAATGTTGGATTACTTTGGAAATAAATAGGGCATGAAGACTGAACGCAAATGTAACCGCTCGACTGTTTTTTGCCGTCTTTTGCATTTTTCCTTTTGTCTGTTTGTTTATGAAGTAGAGAGTCATTTGGGATGGCTGCACGCTTTTTTTGCTCAAGTTGTTGATTCACGCTACCCAGAGTGAAGTTGCATCTATTTGTGCCCAGTTGTGTATTTGAATTTTGCTTCATTACATAATTTTACAATTTATTCATACATTTAACTTTTCAGATTTCAGTACAATTTTATCTTCCAACATTATGGTCTAAAGGCTGTTTGAAAGCTTTCTCCCTTTGTTTGATCAATGCGTTGCCTATAAATAGTCAAAAATGTAGGTATCTAGTCCAACAACTCATCTGTTTGATCACAGAATGTAGATCGAACCCCCAAAATCCCCAGAAATGTCGAGGGCCTCTGTGTGCCCAAAGGTTTCTGCTGCCCTAAAAAAACGGTGGTCTAATAGTAATATACATGAATGTCACGTAAATCCAAGGATCTGATTGTCTCATCAACAAACAACACTTTAAGAAAGGTGTGAAGCTGCACATGAAAAATGTCCTTTTCATATTTATCTGCATTTGTGAACACTGTCAAAATCCTGTTTGAGCTGTGTGCCCTCATCAGAGCACATATCTGTGTCACACCCCTCTAATGGAGGAACGGGAAGCTGTGGGGGGGAGGGGCAAAAAAAAAGATAAAAATCTGGGATCTGTTGAATGGACGAGCGAGTTAATCACCTTACCAGTCTGGGAACCCTCTGCGCTCCGGAGCCAGGAGAGAGGAAGATGGGGTTAAAGTGATGGATTAAGGATGAGTGAGGGAGCCCACAGAGTTCAAGTTAAGACTGATTTGGAGACGGATCGCTGTCCTGTCGAGCGTGGCGGAACAGTGGCGTCCGGCCTGTGAAGTGTCGGCGTGGTGCTTCGGTGCGAGCGGCAGAGGAAATGAAAAGTCATTACTGTCAGTGTGGAGTGAGCTTCATGGCCCAAACGGGATTAGACGGTGCATCCGACATTGTTTCTATACATTGGTAGACTTAAAGGTCAAGCGCAAAATGGGATTAAAACGAGGGAAAAAAACCCCAATAAATAACCTTCAACCACCACCATCACCCCCCCTCCCCCCCTTCCCTCTTCTTGCCTCCCTTTTATTTCTTCTCTGCCTTCCTTCGCCACCAATTCCCTATTTCATGTCTCACTCCGTCTTCACAGTCTTCTCTCTTCCACCTGTCTCGCTCCCTGTTCCACTCTCTCTGACACATCTCTCTTTCCCGTCTTCCATCCTTCACACACTCATCGCCGTCATCAAAATGCACAGGTAGGCGCCGACTCCCACGCGCACTTTACATTCTCTGTTTTGCAAAAAAAAAAAAAGACATCCTTCTGGGGCCAATTGGCGCTTGAAATCCAACTTCATTCCCCTCAAACTGAACCCTTTCAAAAACAACCCCCCTCCTCCTCTACCACCCGCACTCTTTTTTTCTTTCTCCCTCCTCTTCCTCTTTCAAAACAGCCCCATAACAAGCTGGCGAATTGTTGCCCTTCCTTAACTTTTAAGGGTATTATGCACCATGTCCAACTTCAAAGCCTGTCTTAACTCCACACTTTAATTGTATCTTCCCCAGCTCTCTGCGTGCCATTCGATTCTGCTGACAACAGCACTTCTCCCTCCGGTCCTATCTCCTCCCGTCCTCCTCTGCCACTCTTTGGTCCTCAATTATGTTGTGTATGTTTGACCACCCCACCCCACCACCACCACAGCTCCTCTCATCAGCTCCTTGCTCCCTTCACAGGCCATTGTCCCCCTGTTGTCACCTACTTTGAAGAGGTAGCCTCCATTTCCTCTCTCGGCAGTCGGTTGTTGCCCGCGGTGTGTACACACCAAACAAACTTGAAACAGTAACCCCCTGTCCTACATTGGCTGTCTCCTGCTCTCTTTATCAGCTCCCTCTCTCTCTCTCTCTGTCTGTGTGAGCTGACTTCCTCCTCATGGCCCTGGTTGATAATTGCCATAAGCTTCCCTCTTGGTTTCATTTTCCATTGTCCTCCCCCAAATTCTTGGCTCTGGCTTGAGATAAAGGGATGAGTACTTCAAAGGGGTCTGCAAAGAGTTTAACCCCGAGCCGAAAGGAACAGCTCACAATACTGTAATTGAGAGCAGTTACTGATCACAGAGCTGCAGCACAGAGAGGACAGCACCGGTAGACGCACACACACACACACTCACACACACTCTCTCTCTCTCTCTGAGTGTTTATGACTGCAACTGAGGTGGCCAGTAGCAGTTACGACAGGCCGCTCAGGAGACCATATAACACAGTCGTAAAACCTTCTCTAGTCCTCTGAAGTTGTTGTATAGGAGGTGTTTTCCATCAAATCTGACTTGAGATACCAAAGACAATTAAGCTGCTTTGTGTATTTTGTGCGCATGCAAAAAAATAAATAAGAAGCTGTCCACAAATAAAGACCTGATTAGACCCGCAAGCGATTTATCGCCCGTCTCTATTTATAGGGCTCTTTGTAGTGAGGCCGAAGTTGACCCGTCCCTGTAATAATATCTGCCCGGACAGAGGGACAGTTACACCCCATAACCTGTCCCCCCGAAGCCCTCTTTCAAGGGTCTTTTTATAGGGCCAGGAGCCAAGGACACCCCTTGGTCCCGGGGCAGTCTCAGACCTGGGGTCAGCTCCTGAGGGGGGCAGCAGGGAAAGACTCGACCTTTGGGGACCTCCCATGAACCATACAGGGGGTTGACAAGGCAGGACATGAGGGCCCAACTGGCCACTGGTAATGGCAGGGGGTCCACACCACCGTCATGGTGCGGGTTTCCACCCCGGTGTGTTTACTGTCAGAGGTCAGGCTGAACCCTCCAAAGTTAACAAAGGCTGACATTGTCGGGCTCTGTATATTAGCCAGATGACCTGTACGCCTACAGAGAGACTCTGTGTGGATGAGCTTTTATGAGACAAGAAATTGTTTGTGTGGACTTGTTTTTAACTTTGAATCATTAGTGTCTAACATACTGTACGTCAGTGGTCCCCAAGCTTTTTTTGTTAAATGTAGCCACAGAGCCACCTCAGATGACCTCAAGTCCATCTACACCAACATTTATATCCGCTGTTTAACTCTTACTTTTATCTATTCTTTATTATCCATCACTTAAACTCTTTCAACTACTCTGCTGCTTACTTGCTAACTAGTTTTCACGCATTCAACAAGAGGAGTTCAAGAGTTACAACTAACTCAAAAAGTGGATTTAATCAAAAAGAAAAACATTTTAAAATCCCCACTTATCACCGTGACGTGACGTCATCCATTGGTTTTTGGACTCCCGTTTTGAAGCCTTGAGTTCGGAATTTAGGCCGTCGCCATATTGGTTTTTGATCAATCTTGTCTTTTTGCAACCAGAAGTGACACGAGAGGGTGGAGCCATTTTTAGGTGACCAAAATGTTACAACTAACTTTCATGAACTGAGAACACACACTGTGAAAGGGTTAAAGTTATAAGACAAAAACATGGACAACTCAGAGACTGGACTACGCCGTGTTAGCGACCTGTCAATCATAAGGTAGCCCCGGCCCAAAGCATACCCTGCTTTTAAGTCTATTTTATTCTTAATGGGATCATAATTTACTAAATGAACATCATGCTTGAAACTAGTGATTGAGACCATAAACTCATGTTCACAATGTTTACTGAGGTAATAAATCAAGTGAGAAGTAGTCATTTTCTCATAGAGTTCTACACAATCTGACTTCTTTTTGCAACCAGAGGAGTCGCCCCCTGCTGGCCAGTTTGAGGTACTTCTACATTGGCTTCATTTTTCAGACCCAGAGTTTGCCGCCTGCAAATGACCTCTTTCACAGCCATTAACAGTTGCACTGCCTGTTATTTATGGTAGTTTAATTGATTTATTTCCTCCTCTGCATGCTCTGATTGGCTAGTACTCGTTGCCTCATTCACAGACTGTTTTAAGTTTATTGCCGATGAATAAGATTGATGGAAGGTTGGTAGGGTTAATGATTCCAGCTCATATTTTCATCAGGATGGCAGCCTTCTTGTGTTGTGCTCTCATATGTAATTACAATGTTGTGATTATGGGAGCGGGCAGAGTTTAAAGGTGACAAAGTGGCCTTTGAATGATGAGTAATGCCTTAGTCATCATGGCCTCTTCAAGAGCAACTTCCTCTTTTATTAACCTTGATGGGAAGCGATGCATCAAGGGAGAAAGTTTCACAGCACCTTTAGCAAACAGGCTGATCAAAGTGTGTGCCGTCTTTGTACTGTACTTTTTGAATGTCTGTCCACTGAGACAACAGCGACACACAGACACCTACTGTCTCGCTTTCAAGGATATAGTCATCTTGTACAAAGGGTCTCCTGTGGTGCCTCATTTGAACACTAAAGACCTATCCAGAACTAAACTCACACTATTGACTCTGTTCTATAAACACTACAGTAAGATCACTGGCTGTAACTAGTCCAGTTTGGATAAAGAAAATGTCCAAAATCTCCACTGCCGTCTGCATCCAAACAACTCCTCTCTGACCGGTGAATGGATGTATATTGAATGTCTGATCCGTCTGTGGGCTTTTCACTTCTTCTCATGTTATCTGCTGCACAAAGCAGATAGCTGCACTGCCAGAGCTGCAGAGAGGAGTCATTCTTCTGATGCTTAAATTATACGATAACATCCTTTTAGGGAATTTATCCCCAGTGGACAGATGTTTTAATCTGGTGTGCATGCATGTACCCTTATTGCCACTGGTAGGAGCTGTGGAGTGATGAACAGCACTATTTGATTTGCTGCAACATGTTTTATGTGAAGGACATCTGCGGATTGTGACTTTTATTTCAAATGCATGGATTTAGGACTAATCTAGTCTTTGAATTATGCAGGAGGGACATCTCTATACCTTCCAAATAGTCTTAAAGGGATTAAAATCATAGTTTTATTATTCTCCTGAGCTTTTGTCTTCTTGTAACGTGACCAAAAATTCATATACGAGCACATGAACGTGCCATTTGATGCACGCCAGTGCGTGCATTGTGCTTCCCCGGGTTCTCCAACGGGTTAATCTCAAGAACCATGCGGGTCTTGAAAAGAAAAGGATCCCTGCGTCTTTAAAGTTGATGTAGCAACAGAGGGATTGTAGCGATAATGCTATTGGGGCGGCAGATCAGTTACTTCTGCCGCTCCAAAGCCTCGGGGAGTTGGCTCAAGATTACTTCTCTTTGATAAGGTCCTCGCTGTGCAGCTGCAACTTCGTGATCTGGGAAATAAAGATTGGTAAAAACGTGGCAAATAAAAAAAAAAATAAAAAAAGCAGCTCGCTGTTAGGGGGAAATAAACCGAGCAACCTTTTTTAAAAAAAATACGTTTCATTCAGAAGTGAACGTTTCTGCGCAGCTCCGACACTTGTTTTGGTGTTCTTGTCGGAGGAACGAAGCTGCCATTGTTTTTTATGCAGCTGTCGGGACCTCGGCAGTCGGCTCCTCACTTTGAAGTGCGCTGCTCCAGCCTGTCGGCTCAGTCGGTGTTGGAGTCGCCTACAGGAGAGACCTAACGTGCGGCATGGCAGCCTGAAACCAGAGGGAGGAGAAAAGGAGGAGGGAGAGAAAAGCGCTATTTTTTTTTTTTCTTCTCCTCTCGAGTTTTTTTTTTTTCTCACCATAAACCGACTCGAACCTGAACGGACTGTATGTGGACGCGTCGCGGAGACGAGTACTGTGGATTATACGCGTTTTTTTTGTGTGTGGATAAAAAAACAACAACAACCGGAGTTTAATTTGAGGAGAGAACTCGTGGATCGATGGTAAGTTTACTCGAGTGAGTCCTCAAACTGGCCCCCGTTGGAGTTCCCTTTGATGTGCGGTTGACTCGCCTTTGAAGTAACGTTCAGGGGGGAAATGACCCGCTTTTCTTACGTTTAAAAAAAAAACACCAAAAAAAAAGCGTTTCTGTGTAATTCACCTCAGTTTTTGTTTTCGGTATGCTTTTGATTCCACATTTTAAAAGTGAAAGAAGATCATTTCAAAGAAGTACTCGTTTCTTTTAGTGGAATTCCTCCCCCACGAGATCTGAGACTTTGGTGTACTTGGGATTGGACGTTGTTTAGAGAGAGGAGTCCGTTTCTTCGCCTTAAATGTAACGTTAAAGAAACTTTAAAAAAAACACTACGTGTCCGTATTAACGTGAGTGGATAAGAGTTGCTTAATTGTTTGTTTGTAGTTGCCTATAACATTTGGTACATGAAGATAGAGTCGTTTCTCTTCTGTCTCTGACAAGTTCAACACTTAAACTGTAACCGAGTGTCAGTGATACAAAGTGACATCTGTTACATTTAATTTCTTTAAGCATTAATGTAGCAAACTGCTCGATAACTGAGCGATGTATATGTGGGTGTCTGAAACGTGTAAAGCTCCAGGGGTAACGTTACTCCTCCAAACACACCGACCAGCTGCAGCCAGTTTAACTCTGATTAACTACACCGGTCACGTTTTTCTATCTCTCCCGAGTTTGTCCCACAGGTCTTCTCACCGGGAGGCTCAATTTTAACGTGATTTAGTCGCCTGTGATGTTGAAACGTAGAAATGACTTTCCCCACCACCACCACCACCTCCTCCACTACCAGCAGAAAGTGCCCGGGCTGTAGAGAGGACATGTGCTGGCATTGTGCAGCAGGCAGCCCCGGCTGTAACCCATCAGGCGGGCTGGATTCCGGAAGCATTAATAAAGCCGTGTCCGTTTGGAGGATTAATGACTTATTAATGGGGATCAGCCTGACGCACGTGTGATTACTATACTTGTAGTGCTGATGTAGATTCGTCTCGCGCATCGCTCAGGTGGTTTATCTGCTCCACTGTGTGCATGTGTGAAATCACTGTTTTTAAATTGTTAATTTAACCAATAGCGCATCGGTTTAGAAATCCCATTCCAGGTTGAGATATGAAGAAATGCTGTTTATGTAATGCTGCTGCAGCGGGTTTTTCCTCACATTTCTTTTTTTCTGCAGAAGTCTGTGAGACTCTTACTGCGTCGTCCCCGTCCGCCCCCCCCCTCTCTTTGAAGTTGGGGCGGATCTGGTTTTGATTAGATCAATACTTTGTGTTTCAGAGAGAAGACGGGCAGCCAGAGAGAAGCCCCCCCGCTGACACGAGAGAGTGAGGAGATTACAGTAGAAGAGGAGGAGGAGGAACACACGGGCTCTCTGCCGCTGCCTTCGGAGCCATGAGCCGGGCGCTTATGGACCACATCGCTAGTAGTTTCCGAGAAGATGCTCCTCGACCCCCGGTGCCGGGGGAGGAGGGCGAGGCGCCCTGCTACCCCGGCAAACTCTTAGCGATGAAACCCCTGGAGCCCCCCAAGTCTGTTGTGCTCGGCTCTCCCGGATCCGCGACCAGGAGGAACGAGGACGGTCTCGGGGAGCCGGAGGGCAGCGCCTCCCCAGACTCCCCGCTCTCCCGCTGGACAAAGTCTCTGCACTCTCTGCTCGGGGACCAGGACGGCGCGCTCCTCTTCAGGACCTTCCTGGAGCGGGAGAAATGCGTCGACGCTTTAGACTTTTGGTTCGCCTGCAACGGCTTCCGGCAAATGGACCTCAAGGAGACCAAAACGCAGCGAGTCGCCAAAGCGATTTACAAGCGCTACATCGAGAACGAGTGCATTGTCGCCAAGCGGCTCAAGCCCGCGACTAAAACCTTCATCCGGGATAATATCAAGAAGCAGCACATCGACTCCGCGATGTTCGACCAGGCGCAGACGGAGATCCAGAACGACATGGAGGAGAACGCGTACCAGATGTTTCTGACCTCTGACGTTTACCTCGAGTACGTGAGGACCGGGGGGGAGAACCCGAGTCACGTGAACTCGATCGGCTTGGCCGACCTGAAAGTCGGATGTGGATACATGCCCACGCTCATCGAGGAGGAGGAGTGGAGTTGTGACTTCAAAGCCAAAGCGCTGGCTGGATTGTCGGCAAAGGCGCAGAGGGCCACCGTGTCCATGAGGGCGGTGGAGGTGATGGAGAGGGGATACAGGTATGGCTGCAACTCCTTATTTAAAAAAAAAAAAAAAAAAACCTATTCAGCTCAGAATGCATGCTGTACATCATGATAATAGACTTCCCAACACATCTCCAAATCACATTTGGAGTTTGTAGAAAACTCTTGTCTGGCTCTCTCTGGCCCCTCTCTCGTTCGGATTTCCGTGGCCTTTTTCAAATAGTCCAGCAGAATGAGGGATCGTCTTCCACGGTGAGGGGGGGGGGGGTTCACAGAGCCCCGGCTGGCTCTGGCTCTGGCCCCAGCCGGCAAATAATAGATGATGACATTGCTATGCTATGCCTCCTCCTGTACCACACTGTCCTCGAGAGATGCATCTATAGACGGCTCTTAGAGCTTCATTGTGATGTTTATTATGACCTTTGCCTCTCTGCCGGTCCTTTTCTAAAAGAGCAAAATCAAAGCGAAAACAAATTTTTTTGAGTGTTTTTATAAATGTATAAAATGTTTTATTGGGACATCTTCCGATATTGCTGTGGGACACTGAATTACAAGTTGTTTTTTGAGTATGACGAGCTATCCAAACTGACAGCTATACCTGCTTCTGGACAGCGTGGACTGACAGCTCGTGCGTGGTGACAGGAGTATTGGGGACTTTCCTTTCAGTGTGACGCTTGTTGCTCAAAGTGAGGAGTGCGGTCCTCTCGTTGTCCCCCCACACAGTCAAAACATGTGGAACTCATTTCTACCTTTTTCCTCCCTCACCTCTTCTCGTCTGACTCTCTTAAAAACAAACCCCCGAACGGCAGCAGCTACAGTACAAAATCAACACCCAAAACCGTTCTCGCTCTCTTCTTCCCTCTTTTCTTGTTTGCGTCAATTCTCCTCTGATCTCCCCCCCCCCCCCCCCCCTTTCGACTCCCCTTCACTTTTATCTTATTTTTTTCCTTTTGAAAACTCGGGGAATGGGGACTACGAAGCCTGCTTTTAGAGCGAAAGGGAGGGGGAAAGAAAGTGGAAAGGAAGGACAGAGAGAGGGAGGGGGCAGTGCACCTCATGAAAGGGAGGGAGGGAGGAGAAAGGATAAATGAGGGGGTGAGAGAGAGGCAGGGAGGGAAGAATGCAAGGCCAGCTGTGTTAAATACCTGACTCTTTGCAAGCCCCTCTGAAGGTCAGCCTGGAGCTGGGGGCCTTCAGCTTTAGTCCTGCTGGGTCTCTCCCTCACGAAGACCCCCACCTCCTCTCTCTCTCTCTCTCTCTCTCTCTCTCTCTCTCTCTCTCTCTCTCTCTCTCTCTCTCTCTCTCTCTCTTCCTCTCTTCTTCCCCCCCCCTTTTTCTCCTCCTGTACCATGGCAAGAATGCATGCACAGCAGGAGATGAGTGGTGAGGAAAGAGTGAGTGTGACAGAGAAATGGAAAGAGAGAAACTGTGGGGCTGTTTAAGAGAACATAAATGGGGCAACGGGAGGAAACCCACAGCGTTCCCCGTGCAGATTAGCGTATATCTGAGGGGCGGAGGTTGCCAGGCCTCAGAGTAGCTGCTCACATTCATTCATGAAAAAGTCATATTCACACATTAATCAATGAATACTAATGAGATCTCACCCACCTGTTGGCTACTGTGTCATAGTGTTGCATTGGTATTGATCTGACTTCTGTTGTTGTAACCTCGCCCCAGATCGTACAAGAGAGGAGACCCTCTCAACCCCGGCCATGTGGGCTCTTTCGCCCCCGTCAGCAGCACCAACGACAGCGAGGTGTCCAGTGACGCCCTGACCGACGATGCCATGTCCGTGACTGACAGCAGTGTGTAAGTGAATAGAGAGAGAGAAAGAGAGCGCACAAGGGTGTTTCAGGAATGTGAAATGACTGTAAATGAAGAGAGACTTTGTACACTTAGTGCATCAATTGACACTGTGTAAGACAACGGTTCAACTAATGGTTCGTTTACTTATTAAGTTATTACTTTATTCTATTAACTGATTGAGTTCAGTTCTTGCAGCTTGTGTTGTCAGACCAACAATCACAAAAGATGTTCACTTTACAATAAAACAGAGAAAAATCCACATTTTACTCGCGAAGTGAGCAAATGTTTGGCAGCTTTGCATGTATCAAAACCGTTGTTGATTAGCCGCCTACGGAGTGACTAATCAAGAAGTTGGCTAATCGTCCTCAGTGTTGTGTTGCCTCTGTCCACATGTGGTTCGTGCTTATCTGTGTACGTGCCTGGGGCCTCGTTCTTCAAAGGGATTACTTTGGCGTAATCACGTGTCTCTCAAGTGGCGGGCCGCTGTGAAGTCATTGTGTGGCGCACGGCTCAAGGCCAAAGAGCTCGCTCGGGTCGGCTGGTTTTTCAACCGGAAAGCAGAAAACTCTTGGTACAAGTTCTGCTTTTACTTCATCTCACATGGGAGGCGTCGAGGCCTACGTGGATGATGTCACTGAAGCAGCGAGGTTAACCATGACCTAGCTAAAGATACTGACACACTGATGTTCAGTGGGCTGGGCTGCACATAAATATGGCGGCTATAAAGAGTGTTGTTTTATACAACAGGCTCCTTGCTCTGGCATATCTCTAGACAGCCCTGCTTCAAAGAGGCCGAGGCCCATATAGTCCTATTCTGCTGTACTTTGCCCAGCGCGGTGACAGGGACTCGACACCCCCCCCCACACACACACACACACACACACACACCTCAATTCCTGCCCGCTCTGGCCTTGATCAGAATATCTGCCTCTCTTTAGGTCAGTTGAAAGGGACCCGTAAACATCTGAATCTCACTTACAGATAAAGAAAAGAATAGAAAAGGGGGAAAGCAACGGGGGAGGAGGCGGGTTTTTTTTCAGTGGGAAGAGAAAGAGGGGGGGGGGGGGGGTTTTGTTTATATCTTATTTATGGATTTGCTTGGACGCTGGGGAATGCAGCTGCGCAGACTTCAAACATTACCTTATCTTACAAACCAGCCTTTTGATGTGCGGAGATCAGAGGCTGGCTGCGGCAGCGCTTGCCAAATGAAGATTGGGAGGAGGGGGTGGTGTTGGTGTTGCTTATGCGCATGACTGTGGCATTTCAAAGCAAAAGTGGAAAAGTGCTCCTCAGTTAGGCTAGGTCACCAGAAAGCTGCTGTTTAGCATGGAGAAAAGACGGCGTTTTGCACTGTCAAGTGCTTCAGTTTGAAGCTCCAGCTTTGCTGTTTGTTGTTTGATTAAATTTTTTTCTAGCCAGTCAGCCGTTCGGTCCCTCAGATAGATTTAACCAGGTTAGCTGCACCCTCGGGTCCTGTCCCGCAGTAACTCTTTGAATCGGTATAATGAGTTGCTAATGCTAACGGTGTCCTCCGCTCAACATAGAAATCAGTAGGGGAATGCTAATGCTGACGCTACTTCTGGCCAGCAGAGCAGAGCACACTGTGACTGCAGTGTGAGCGTGCGTGTGCGTGTGTAGTGTTGAAAGGGAAATGGCCAGCAGGATGGCCAGTTCTGTGCTGGAGCCAGAGATGAAAATGTCATTTCTAGGGCAAACAAACCCTCGTACCAGCTCACTCAGAACCGTGTGACCCGGTCTGCTCCGACACACAAACAAGAACGGAAATGCTGCATGATTCACCTCCTGAGTATCTTAGTTTTGTTCTCAAATGGACGGGAGAATTAATTGATTGGATTTATTCTCGCTTGAACTTTGTTTGATCTACCCAGTTAGCTAATAAGCTTCTTCCTGAGTGGCTGTTTGGTCTTCAATGATGTATCCGATTAGGTAATTGACCTTTGGTGGTCGGTCTGTCTGTTCTCCCCCAGAGATGGCATCCCTCCATACAAACTGGGCTCAAAGAAGCAGCTACACAGAGAGATGCAGCGCAACATGAGGATGAACAGTCAAGTCTCTCTGCCTGCGTTCCATGTAAGTACACAAACACACACGTGCTCCAAAGTCTTTTTGAACCTGGGCCCCACAGTGTAATTTCCATACCACCCTCAGTTCTGGGTCTCTCTTGGTTCTATGAATAGTACGGCACAAACTGTATTCGGCATTCTCAATTCAACACGAGCAAAGATCTGAAGGGTAACGTCGGAGACTCAGCCTCACACACACACACACTATTATAAGTGCACATACACACACAGGAGCCCTCTCGCTACCTTTGGTGTCACCTACACCCCCATTAGGGTTCCTTTAAGTCTGCGGGAGACGAGGGGGGTCTCTAAGCTGTTTATCGCCGCAGCGCTCGGAACACGCCAGGGTTTTTTTTTTTTTTTTTTCTTCCCCACCGATGCTGTAAATATGGAGAACAGGGAGAAGTGAGGAAGATCTCTGCCGCTTTATCCCGAGGGCTCTGAAATCAGCCCGGTTCCCAACGAAAACACAAAGATACTCCGACACATTCACACGCACAGGCAGCGCTTTGATCCGAGGATGAATGGAGCAAACGCACAGGGAAGTGACAACTTCCAACAGAGCTGGCCCCCTTTTTTTCTTCTTTCCACAGCACCCCCCCCCCCCCCCCCCCACCCACCCACCTACCCCCTACATATACACACAGCCAGCCAGCCCCCCTCCCCTAAAAGTATGGGATCTTAGGGAAGAGCGTGTCATGTGAGCCCTCAGTGGGTCAGAGGGGAGGTGGTAGCTTAAGGCTCAAGAAGAGGCTAACTTCACGTTGAGAGAACAGGAAAAGGAGGTCCGACACAGAGAGGTTGACGTCTCGCCGAAGTAGAAGTAACAGAAGCAGCTTGTTAAAGTAAACTTGCTGTGGCCCCCTTTTTTTGTCAACATTATGAGACATGCAGCAAGTGTTACTTATCTGAGGAAAGCATCCACAGATTGGCTGTCGCCACTCTTCTCTCACTGTCCCCCTTTTGCTTTTATTTTGCTTTTCGCTTTTTGTTCTTGTTTTGGTTTCCCCGTCTGATTTTTGGCGATGGCTTCCATTCCCATGGTGCAGCAGCCCCAGGCTCCATCAGACAGAGCCTCTTTTTCTCACTCTCTTTCTCCCCTTCATCCCTACTACAAAGGGATGGGAGAAACACACAAAAAAGAGGAAGAAAAATCAAGAAAGCCCCTGTGCAAAAATGCAAATAATTTAAGATGTGTGCGAACACACACACACACACACACACACAGTCCTTCTCATACTGTCACTATAGTGTACCTCAAAGGTGCCCAGTGTGTGACAAGGTGGGGAATAAATTACCTCAACCTTTCTGATCTCTCATCCTTTTTCTGGCACCTTTTTTTTATCTCTTATCTTTCTTTCAGTCTTTCCCTCTCTTCATTTTCTCTTTCTCTCCCCCCCTGCGAGCACACATCACTGCATCTCAACTTCTCCCATTTCTTTTTCTTTTTTTAATCCCTCATCCTTTGCTCCCTGGAGTTCTCTTCCACCCCCTGTCGATATGTGGCTTTTATTCCTAGATGTAAAGCCACTGCTTCCCATCTATCTATCCCTCCGTCCCTCCCTCCGCCGCCCCACTGAGTGTTTGATATTTGACGAGGAAGCCTTTGAAGTGAGCTGACTTTAAAGAGGCCCGCTGATGATGACGGAGGGAACCAGCCGAGGCCCGGCCCAGCATGACCACACACCCCTTGAAACAACCCCGTAGCCCTGGTTGCCCGTGAGAGTGCCCTGATCAGTACCACCGATGGTGGCGTAGGCGCTGGTGGAGAACAATGCATAAACGTAGACCGACGAGGGGGAGAGGAGTACGGATGTCTTATGTAGGAGCGAGCTGGGGCTCGATCATGGAGGTTATGACACATACACGATACAGTGGCTGACGTATGTCCTTCTCCCCAAAGCGTACTTGTCGTCCTCCCAAGGAGATGGTCCCGATGAAGCCGTTGGAGTTCGCGGCCCAGCTCATCTCCCGCCTGGAGAGTCTGAAGAGCAAGCAGGACACCATCAACTCTCTGGAGGAGAAGCTGCAGCAGATTGAGGAGGTTTGTATGAGTTTTTTTTTTTTTTTTTTTTTTTGTACTGGAAAAGTCAACTGTCAGGTGTTTTTAATTGCTCCGCTGATACATTGTGCATGATTTGGTACCAGGAGGAGGAAAAAGAAGACACAGAGATCATGGGAAGCGCTCCCCACCCCTTGACCCTCCTCCCCGGCTCCTCTGACGAGGACCCCCAGGCCATTCTGGACGAACACCTGTCCCGCGTCCTGAAGACCCCCGGCTGCCAGTCCCCCGCCGTCGTCCGCCACTCGCCTCGCTCCAGCTCCCCGGAGCACAGGCCCATCACGCGGGCAGGCTTTGGAATCAAGACCCTGGTGAGGACGGGGCCCTCCAGCTCTTCCGTCTCCAGTCCCGACCAAGGGGCTCTGGCCCCGGACCCCAACAGGACCTTCGTGAGCCGGCAGAGCACAAAACACATCCACCACCACTACATCCACCATCACGCCACTCCCAAGACTCAGGAGCAGATTGAGAGGGAGGCCGCCCTCAGAGTGCACAGCCTGTGCTCCAGCAGCGTCGAGTGCCAGCCTTACCAGCGCAGCCGCAGCCTGGGCAGAGAGATGTGTGGGGCCGTCTCAACCGACGACAGCGTGGGGTGAGTCGCAAGCACCTCTTTGCTTTGTCTCGTTTTAATTCTGTTTCCTCGTGTCGGTTGCCTAA